GGACAGGCCACCCGCTCCAACCCGCCAGCCTGGGCTCCCTCTGCCCCGCGGAAGGTCTGGGAATTAGGAAGAGGAAAATGAAAGCTGCCTCCTATCTCCAGATCTAAGAATAGAAATCTGGGCGTTGGGAAAAGAGGACACCGCCCAGCTGGCCCCTTTTTGGAAAACATTCTCTTTAGAGTTCCCCCTGTAGGAAGATGAGTAATTTCCCCTCAAGGATGGAGAGAGATTTTTGCAAAAAAAAAGAAAAGAAAGAAAGAAATTAATTTTGCAAGCCATCTGCATACTTTTCTATGGTCGCTGCAGCCCTTTGTAAGGGAAGAAATTTAAAAAAAAAAAATGTTTTCCCTGATAGTTATTTGAAGTTCTGTTGGCTAAAAATCCACTAAAATTAACTTTTAAATTTTTGAGTTTGCACTCAGGAGATTCCTGATCATTGGGGCACAAGAGAAGCACAAGGTAACCTGAAGTGAAAAGGTGAGAGATGCAAACCTTAATAAACATTGTTCTCTTGGTATTCAAAATTATGAGTATGCCCTGCTAGAACCCTAAAGTTAAAAGAAAAACAGTAGGAAACACTGTAACTGTAAACCAGGCTAACCAAGGCATCTATTGCCTTCAGATGGTTTGTCCTGGGGGTCATTTACAAAATAGAGGATTGGACTGGGAAGTGGAGTATTTCACATTTGTTTTCAATTCTGTTACCTCATCCTGATGGCAATGCTGAAATGGATAAGCCGGCTGCTTATCTTTGGTTTACTAACGAAGCAATGGAGATGTAGAGGTGATAAAAGAGCATCCTTGGAGTAGCACAAATAAGTTGAGGGCCATGACTTAAACCCAGGTAGATTGCCTAAAGCCCACCTGAAGGTTCTTTGCACTCTACCACTTTAATCAAGATGAGCAAGATTGGTTGTTGGGGAGCACACAAGACTTGGTTGGAAAGTTTGTAAGGAAAGTACTGAAGGCGGCATACCCTGTTTATCGGAAATCCAACTTAGGGGAGTGCCAAAGGCAGTGCCCCTAATTATTCCTTGAACTTTCCAAACAAGCCTGTGCATGTGCAGACCCCTGGGTGTTTACTGGAATCCTTACGCTTAATCTTTAGGTGTCCTTTGCTTAAAGGACATTGCAGACACATGTGTCCTCCCAAGATTACTTTTCCTACTGATTGTATCTAAAAGATAAACTTTCTCTCAAACTGCTGTTACAATAAAAGCCTAAAGAGTCAGGTCATTGGGGCTGTCTGGTTCCTTTAGCCAGGCAGTCCCTTAGCCCTCTCTTTCACAGCAAATGCTGTGTCAGAGTAGTCATTCATCCGTGGCTCAGGGTCTGCTTTCCTTTCTGTTTTCTGAACATGTTTCAACTTCTAACTAACAAATCAAGCAATCCTAGTAATTCTCCCTTTCATGCCTCCTTCCCAAAGTTCCTCTGCATCAGTTTCTCCTTCCCAGTCTCCTGGATTATTATCTTGCAAAAAATCAAAACCTAGCTTCCTCCCAAAGAGAACTAAATCTAAGTAAAAAGGTGTCCCCTCTTTTCCTCAATTCATTCATCCATCTATTATCTATTTATTGTCCACTATCTGTTAGCCAGACTGGGAGTAAGCAATATAGGAACCCGAATTCTCTGTTGGGAGCACTTTCGCACACTACTGCGGTCAGAAGTCAAAGTATCCTCTTAGCTTTCAGAAATGTTTAATTGATTGACTAAAATATAAGACATTCATGCTTCGGGTAATTAACAAGACTGAAAAGGAAGGATACAGAGACAAAGTCACGATCCAGGTGGTGTTCAGTGGAGAATTAAATAGTGCCAGAACACTTGGCTAATTTCCTGAGAAGAAAAAAATAAAATGGACATTGCCAATTATAGCAAAGGCCCATACAAATTCCAGATGGGTTAAAGTTAAATGAAAATGATTTTAAATAGAAAATATAAATTAGTATTTATTTAATCTTGGCAAAGGAAACATAAAAACTAAGAAAGAAACCACAGAAGAGTAAGTATATGTGACTCCACAAACATTTAAATTTTCTACAGTAAAAAAAAAAAATAAATGAAACAAAAGCAAATGAAAAACTGAACAAGAAAAAGGTTGCAATGGCAAAAGTTAAGTAACCTTGATCTCTCAAAAGTTCTTACAAGTCATTGGGTAGAGGAGACACTCTACAGATACCCCAGGAGAAAAATGGGTGAAAGTTTTGAAATTTGCTGTGAGTGGACAATAAGTATAAGAAAAGTATGTTCATATACAGTATGAATACAGTATGTTCAATATATAAAATTTGTGTAGCTAAACATCAATAACAGTTATAAAATGTAATTTTATGTGTTTTTATGTGTGGATACAATAAAAACAATGAGAGAAAACTTAGAAATTAACCCCACAAAATATTTTCAAAATATTTTATGAAGGAATTATTAATCTATATTAAAAGGTATTAACAAGATGCAAATAAATAGGCCATATTAATTAATGAAATAAAACACACACAAAATGTCAGTTCTTCATAAAGTAATACAAAACAATGCAAATCCAATGGAATCCTCAGCAAAAAAAAAAAATGTAGATTTCAACAAGCGTGGAGAGCCTAGAATAGCCAAGACATTATTGAAGAAAAACAAAGCGAAATAATAGCCCAATTAGGCATTGACTCAGGGGTCTCTACTAGGGTTTATCAATTTCCAGAGGAAGGAAAAGTACGTGATGATGTCTTCCTGTAAATTAGGAAAATGTGCCCCTCCTTGCAGACAGACAGCGCCCTATGCCAGGGTGTAGAAAGCAGGAGGTAGATTTCAGGCAGCACCTATCCCTTCAGCTTGCTGGTCATGTGGATTATAGAGAGCAAGAAAGGGGGCCTTTAAATCCACGGGCACATGGAACTATGCCAAATTTGCCATGCTCTCTGGGAGAAGGCTTCTTGGAAGAGAGCCATCCAGACTACTCCTGATTTCCTCTGTCTTGAATTTTATATATTCTTTAAGTGTTCCATGATCAATTCTGCGACACCCTCAAAACCAGAGCCAAATTAGAGTAAACAGAACTGGAAGTACTACAAGATGTCTGAAACAGTTTAGGTCAATTCCAAAAGAAAAGGATCAGAAAGGGAACATTTTGATAGAAAACTAGAATAAAAATGTATTGACAGTTAAGGCAACCATCTTCTCTAAAAGGCATATCAATTTAGCACTATTCATTCAGTAAATACTTATTGATTAATCACCTACTGGATAGTTATGAGCTAGTGAGATTAGTGCCTTTTCTTCTAGTATCTACTGCCAAATATTGCCAAGATGAAAAGTTTACTTAGAGAATAATAGAATAGAATGAATACAAAGGATACTCAAATATGTCAGTCTCTTGCTGACAAATTTCTTTTGTAACTCCATCCAATTGCTGAAAATTGACAGAAATAAACTGAAAAATTTTATACTATGTTTAACATAGAAGATAACATTAATGTGTTAAAGTCTTTTAAAAAGGAATTTTTAGAAGTTGGAAATTGGATAAAGGCCCTGGCCAGTGTTTTTCAGTGGTTAGAGCATCAGCCTGCCCACCGAAGGGTCATGAGTTCAATTCCCTACCAAAGGTTGCAGGTAGGGTTGCAGGTTCCATCCCCAGCCCTCCTGGTCAGGGTGGTGCTGGAGGCAACCAATCCATATGTCTCTCTCACAATGATGATATCCTCTCTCTCTCTCTCTCTCTCTCTCTCTCTCTTTCTCCTCCCTCCTACCCTTCCACTCTATCTAAAAATCAATGGAAAAAATATCTTCAAGTGAGGATTAACAAAAAATTCCTAAATTAAAATTTTAAAATTGGATAAAGGAATCAAGGAATGCCTTGAGAAAAGATGTATAAAGAATCAAGGAATGTTCAGCTTTATTTTTCTGATTTGAAGAATAAACAGAAGAAAATGACAGAGGACATTTTCATACAACAAGTTAGTACAAACGTTGCAACTGAAAGATGTCTCAATGCTAAAAAAAATAATAATTAATTAATGCCAACTTCCTTTAGGAATGTTTATAGCAAGCTCTCTAGACATGAGGCTAAAAAAGGAAGTCACAGGGGATCCTTGCAATACAAAATTACACAGTTCACCATATTTCATAGTAGAGGTCTTGCAAAATAAGAGAAATAGAAAAGATGGAAAAGGTAACAGAAGTCTACTGGCTGCTAAAGCTAACTGGGCTTTTTTTCATTGTTATACATCAGTGGTTCTCAACCTTCCTAATGCCACGACCCTTTAACACAGTTCCTCATGTTGTGGTAACCCCCAATTTCATTGTTACAAATTGAACATAATTAAGCATAGTGATTAATCACAAAAACAATATGTAATTATATATGTGTTTTCTGATGGTCTTAGGCAACCCCTGTGAAAGGGTGGTTTGACCCCCAAAGGGGTCGCAACCCACAGGTTGAGAACCTCTGTTATACATTCTACATACATACATACATACACACATACACACAACACACACACATACACACACACACTTTCTGTCTATAAATTATCCCAACGAAGAGTAACAACTTTTTTCAAATGTTAGAATCTTAAAGTCCTGAGCACTTGCTACAGCAGAAAGAAGAGGGAAAAAGAAAAACCATAGCTTGCCAGTGTCGAACAAATAACCATGAGAGAGTGACAGTGCTTCACTGGAATGTGATTTTTTTGTGCTTCTGGC